TGTTTAACTGTTGCATATGAAGGGCCACTGTCACCCATAGTTTGTGACATTTCATCATGGATCTGCTTTGCACCTTTCCCTTGGAAAAACAGGAACTTGATTATGGTCCTATGCTCTTGCACATTGAACTTTTCTGGAGGTGCTGTCATGTTCTCTTTGGATCTGAACATGAAAGATATGTTAAAATCATAGGTAGTTGATTTTGTCACCATTGAATACAGATAAATTGGCCAATACACCCCACAATTTATAGCTCCTTAGCTCAATTTTTTCTGGGAAAGGCTCGGTACTTATGAGCCCCCTCTCGTAAAGGTTCCACTTGACATTTAGTCCAGTCGTGTCTGACTCCAGGGTGCGGTGCTCATCCCCCTCTCCAAGCCATAGAGCCAGCGTGTGTTCGTAGACAGTTTCTGTGGTCATGTGGCCAGCACGACTAGACACGGAATGCTGTTACCTTCCCGTCATGGTGGAATCTATTTGTCCACTCGCATTTACATGCTTTCGAACTGCTAGGTTGGCAGGAGCTGGGACAAGCGACGGGAGCTCTTACGACTGCTGATCTTCTGACCTTGCAGCACAGAGGCTTCTGCGGTTTAACCTGCAGCGCCACCACGTCCCTATTAAAATGTCTTAGCCATTCTTATTATGTTTAATCAAGCATTCCAAATGTATTATCCAATGTATTATCCAAACCATGCCTGTTTCTTCCATTAATGTATTTAAAGCATTTTAACTTTGCTTCTCAGCCTAAAGAGTTCCCAAGACTTCTGCATGAGAGCAGTAACAAGCAAATCAGATGTTGGCTTCAGGCAATTCCATGCAAAAAAATATCTACCGGTCCTAGGAAAACCATCTGTTTAGTATAACACAAAGGTGCTTAACTTACCATAGCTCTTACTGCTTGCCTACTGCATTTCAGTAAAGTTAGATGAGTAGGTGGGTGTTGAGGATTGATTCTGCCAGAGTTTTCAGTGGGAGTGAGGAGGATAAAAAAATCATCCTAGTGGCTTTGGTAGGTGGAAAAGGTCCCCTTGGCTTAGAAGGATGTTAGGATGGACAGGATGAGTGAGGGCTGGTGCTTTGACATATGAACATGTTCTAAGGTTAGCTGTGTGGCTCTTAGTTTGGTGCTAGTTGAATGGGTTCTCGTATCAGACCAGATGTGGGGAGGTGGCTTCCTGGGATGGATGCTGAGGAGTGTATTTAGCCTTTAACCAGGGCTGTCCTATCAGCTGCTTATCAGAATTGTTCTCACTTTTCCCGGTGAAAAAACTTGAGAGGGCACGAGGGATCAGTTAGGTGAGTGTTTCCAACCCCAGTTTTGAGTTCAGCACCTCTGCTCTTCCGTATCGTTTGCTACATAATAGCCACCTGACTTTTTATTTATATAGCCTCAGGTGTATCTCTCTATCTCTCTGTCATTAATTGTTACAGCTCTCCAGAGCTCTTGGGGCCTTGTGTGCCCTTTCGGTTCTAAGTAACAGGATTAGCAATCAAGCCAGTGTTTGTTGTGATGTTAATAGGGGACCAAAGAGTTCACTTTAATCAAATGCCTCTGACAGGAGTTCACTGAGTGCAGCTCCGAAACATGGACTTACTAATCCCCATGTGCACAAAGCTAGAATGTTTATGTAACAGATTTAAAACAACAGAAGAAAGTGTGGAGATGGCGGGTAGGGTTGCAGTCCTTTTCGAAGTATATATATATTTCTCATTATCAGGAGGTCAATGTGTGATGCTTTTTGGTAGTTACCGCTACAGCTCACCACTCCAGTTACAGCTGTAGCTCATCATTCCCTAAAGTGCACAAGAGGTACGCCCCTACTCCAGTGTAAAGAACCACACTGCTGGGACCATCGCCTTCAGAGACCATACTACTTCTGTAGATCATTTCCTCTTTTGTGTTTCCTCTACTTACACACACGTGGATCCCTACTTGCTGTAGATAAAAATGCACAGTATTGATAGAAACTAAATTACTGGTTTCTCAAAGATCCACTTAAAATTCAGATTGCATGACTTGAAGACTTCAGGAGTGGTGTCCCCTTCAAAGATGAGACTATCTTTCCTGGCATGTAGCTCCTCAAAATCTCATATTGTTCTTAGCAGGGAACAAAATTTTGGGCAAATTCGAGATACTACAAGAATGTCCTGCTGGAAATATTTTTTTTAACCATTCTTGTTACAGGAAAAACTGAGAAGAAACAATGACAGGTTTGTTCTGGTGACATAGGTTTAGTTTTTTGGCATATCTTGGTTAAGCAAGAAAATTAACACTTACTTTTTTGCCTTAATAGTTCCGCACCAAAAGATATGGAGGAAGAACAACCTTTGTCTGCTTGCAGCCAAAATTCTGAGGAAGCAGTAAGAAAACGGCAAAATTCGAGTCAAGGTTCTCGGAGCAGCGATTCCTCCAGGACCTCAAGAAAAAGCTTCAGACTGGACTATAGGTTGGAAGAAGATGTGACAAAATCAAAGAGAGGTAAAGATGGGAGGTTTGTCAACCCCTGGCCAACATGGAAAGCTCCGTCTTTCCCAAATATTTTGAAATGGGCACTTACAGAACCGGACAATAGCAATATCCCATCTTCAAAGCAGGTAAATATTCAATAGTTGTATTCACATGGTTATATTTGAAGTGCTCTCAAAGTGATTTCTGTTAAGGAAAATAACAGTCTTGCATGCAACCTAACACTGGGTTTCAGTGGAAAGGGGTCTTTACAGCTTAACATAACTATGCCTTCTCACTAACCAATTAGCAAAGTTATTTTTCCTGCTTCTGGCTTGCCCTGCCTCTTTTTCAGTTTGTTTAGTTTCCAGTTGTTTGTTTGCTGTCTCTCTTCTCTGACTTTTGACAAGAGTAGATATGTAGTCCTCTACTCCTGACCTCTCTGAGCATGTGGCCAGCATGGTGGACTCAATCTCCTAGCTTGGTTGAGACTGCAGTTTCTTTTTCCTTTCTTTTATACTGCTAATTGTAACTGAAGATTGCAACTATAAGTAAAGATGCCTTTTTTCTACTGAAGATGCTTTTAGAGGAATTCTTATTATACAAAGTGCTACTGTGAAAGGGGGTGTGTGTGCTCTGAGACCTGAGCTACTCTCTTACATATTCTCTGTGCAGTTGTTTGTATTTTAAACTCTGCTAATTATAAAGGAAATACCAATTTCCACAATAGTTTCAGCTTCTTTAGAGCTAGCATTCCCCTTTGATGAGCTATTGCACACCTACAGGAGGGCTGACCAGGTCTCCACTCCCTCATATCATTCACTCTTTTTGCAAATTAGCTAGTAATATTGCCATATTTCTCTTGGTAAGCTAATCTAAGGCAGAATAAAACTATTATAAGATTAATGGTCTTTTTTGGGTTTCTGTTCAAAGGATGTATAGTGCAATCTGCTATAATTTGAATATGTATATTGCTTTCAAGAATATCTGACTTAAGTATCTGTAAATGGTTGACTTCTAATATTGGAGTCTATACCCACTAAACCCCCTTTCCTGAAGAGGAAGCTGAGGCAGGAGGGAGCTGTGGTTGGGGGACATTTTATTTGGTGAGGTCTTTTCTGCTAGGCTGACCTTTGTACTCCCTGACCGCAAGGTCTGAGGGGGCGGGGTTTTGGCTTTAAATTAGTGCCATCAGAAATTCTCTGGTTCTATTTTCAGTCTAATCTGCTAAATAGGAAAGCCAAATAACATTGCATACACCTGAGGGGCAGGAATGTTTTAGGAGTAGGACCATACTTCTGCACTATTTGGGAGCAGGGCGGGTAGGTGGGACTCATCAGCCATGGAAGGCAGCCCATCTAGGAGTAGGAAAACTCCAATTTCAAACCTCCACTGCCTTGTGACTATATCCAGTGATGGAAAAGGCTTCAGGAGTTAACCTTGAGGCAAAATCCAGAGCTGAAGTCCCGTAGGCAGTTCGTGTCGTTCTGGCAACTCCTGCGGCGTCACTGGAACCAGTTGTATTGGCTCTTGCCTTTCCATTGGACTATTTCAGTGGTGTGGAGAGGGGGGATTTGCTGCTTGGGTAACAGCCTATCCTCCATATTATTTTACCCAGGCTTCATTCTCTGGAGAGGACACTCCAGCTTCACATACAGTGTCGAAATAACGCAGGAAGTAGCAGTTACTGGTTATAAGTCTTTTCTTGATTGGCGTAGAGCATGATGCCAGGGGCTGCTTCTGATGGTGGGAGAGGTCAGTGCACCTGACTAGGTAGGGTGAAAGCCGAAAAGCAGATCAATAACCCTACACCATGCAACAATCAGAAGAAAACTTCTGCCCTAAAGTTGGGCACCTGCAATGTTCGGACAGTGACCCCTGGCTTTGCTGACAACCTGCAGGAAATAGATGATGTGTGAAAGACAGCTGTCATCAACATGCTCCTTTGAAGACTGCTACAGGTGTGATCATCCAGAACCGGGCACAGCAGATGGAACGCGGGGTGCAGCACTACTCTGAGCTATATTCTAGAGAGAATGTAGTAACCAAAGAGGTGTTAAATAACATCAAGTGCCTGCCTGTCTTGGAAGAGCTGGACAGCGAACCAACTTTAGCAGAAATAAAAGCGGCCTTGGATTCCCTCGCCTCTGGCAAGGCACCGGGGAAGGATAACATCCCCGTTGAAGTGTTGAAGTGCTGTAAAGAGATCATCACTACCGAGTTGTATGAAGTCTTTTGTCTTTGCTGGAGGGAAGGTAGAGTACCAAAGGACATGAAGGATGCAAGCATCATCATATTGTATAAGAGCAAAGGAGACAGGGGTGACTGCAATAACTACTGTGGCATCTCTCTTCTCAGCGTTGTAGGGAAGCTGCTGGCCTGAAGATGCTCCAGGTGCTTGCAGACAGAGTCTATCCAGAATCACAGTGAGGATTTCGAACTAATAGATCCACCACTGACATGGTATCTTCCCTCAGACAGTTGCAGGAGAAATTCAGGGAACAACAACAGCCACTCTTTGGGGCCTTCATAAATCTCACGAAGTCCTTTGACTTGGTTAGCAGGGATGGCCTTTCTAAAATACTTCCCAAGATTGGATGTCCACCTCGACTCCTTAACATCATCAGGTCCTTTCATGAGGAAATGAAGGGCACTGTAGTTTTTGATGGCTCAACATCAGATCCCTTTGCCATCCGAAGCAGAGTGAAACAGGGCTGTGTTAGGAGCTCATCAGTATTGTACTTTTGTCCTGACAATTCCATGCCTTTCTTCTCCTCTTTCCTCTCTCCTTGGATGGCATTTCTCATTGGATGATTAATGTATAATCAGTGAGTGTTGCTGCTATTTACATTTACTGCACAGACCTGGATTCTAAGAAAGTCTATAATGGAAAAGCTTGCAAAGATTCAAAGAGCAATGGAAAGACAGATCCTAAATATACCAGACTAATAGATATTATAAGAAATCAGGTTATTTGACAAAGGACAAAAAGAATAGCTGTAAAAGAACAAATATTATTAAACTGGAGATGAAGACAAGTAGATGGCCAATAGAGAAAAGATATACATCAGTAGTGTCATTGGAGTGAAAAAAGTAGAGGAACTAGATGGATGGTTTTGAACATTCAGCAGAACTAGATTATTAATTAGAATAGCGCAGAACAGACATTTGTGGAAGCAGAAAGGGGAGACATTGGATGTCAGTGGGCTATATCCAGTATTGGATGCCATTGGGCTAATGAAGAAGAAAGGAAAATGATGTCATAGGAATCCTCTTAGTCTTTCAGAGAACCATCTACATGAGTATTTATACTACCTTTTGTAATGTAGAATTCAGACCTCTGTGTCACTTCCCTTCTGCTGCCCTTGACTCAGTTGCTCTGATGTCATTAAAGAGTTTACAAGCCATCATATAGGCTTATTATGGTTTAGGTGTCATAAAAAGAACTTTGCTGTAATACATGAACAGCCCTGGTCTACTTTGCATTCAGTATTATGTGTAAGTTAAAATTAAATTGTGCTGGTACATTTTGGTTAAATAACCCTTCCTGCTAAAGACTTCAAGAGACAATATAGTGCTTGCCACATGTAAGTAAGATGTGCTTTCTGATTTTTGTCTTGTTTTTTCTTTTGTAGGAACTTGACAGAGAGCTTCCAGTGTTAAAACCTTACTTTGTCCAAAATCCCGAATTAGTTGGAAAAACTGGAGCTGGTATGCGAGTAACATGGCTTGGACATGCATCAGTAATGGTGGAAATGGAGGAGCTGACATTTCTTACTGACCCCATCTTCAGCCAGCGGGCTTCTCCAGTCCAGTTTTGTGGTCCTAAACGCTTCCGGCCACCTCCGTGTACAGTAGATCAGCTCCCCAAAATAGATGCTGTGTTGATCAGCCATACTCATTATGACCATTTGGACTACAACACTGTAGTACATTTAAACACTCGCTTTGGCAGTGACCTGAGGTGGTTTGTTCCCCTGGGTCTCTTAGACTGGATGCAGAAATGTGGTTGTGAGAATGTCATTGAACTGGACTGGTGGGGAGAAAACTGTGTTCCTGGTCATGATGCAGTGACATTTGTTTTCACTCCTGCTCAACATTGGTCCAAGAGGACTGCCTTGGATGACAATAGAGTTCTCTGGGGAAGCTGGTCTGTTTTGGGACCCTGGAACAGATTCTTTTTTGCTGGAGATACTGGCTACTGTGTTGCATTTGAGGAGATAGGGAAGCGATACGGACCGTTTGATCTAGCAGCCATTCCCATTGGAGCATATGAACCAAGGTATATAAGCTGGAACCTGCCATTCAGTTCCAGAATATAAAACTGCCACTATTTTGATAATACCACAAATGTATTTGATGTGGAGAGCATAGGGCATGGAACAGACCTTAAAATAAGAGCCCATGATCTAAAAACTGGCTGGAGGCATGAGGAGAAGAGGCGAAGCCTTGATGGACAAGAGGCAGGTGGCTGGTAGGAGACCCACAACAACAACAGGAAATAAAAGTAGTCTACGAAATGCCTTATAGAAGACAGGAAACCTAAAGAAGAAAATAGGGGGTTGAAAGAGAGCTCAATAAGTGAATGTTGCTAGGATTTTTCTTAGCAATATTGGCACTAAGAGTGGAGTAGTAAAAGCAGAGCTGGTCAGATCAGGTACATTTCATGATGGTCACACCACTGGTTCAAAGTGCAGATCAGATCATTTAAACATAGTACATAGAATATACATTGAAAAATGTGACAGGTGGGGGGAATAGGTAAAGGTTCCCCTTGACAATTAGTCCGGTCATGTCCGACTCTAGGGCGCGGTGCTCATCTCCGTTTCCAAGCTGTAGAGCCAGCGTTTGTCTGTAGACCGTTTCCGTGGTTGCGTGGCCAGCGCAGCTAGACACGGAATGTTACCTTCCCACTGAGGTGGTACCCATTTATCTAATTGCATTTTTACATGTTTTTGAACTGCTAGGTTTTCAGGAGCTTGGACAAGCGACAGGAGCTCACTCTGTTGCGGTGATTCAATCTTACAACTTGCAGCACAGAGGCTTAACTAAGAAAAAAATAGCAATTTGAGAAGTGATGTGGGTCTTCCGGTCTGAGAGACACTATATAACCAGCCATTCATCAAGATATTCTGGTTCATCTTCAGATTGTTTGAAAGAAAAGCTTTAATGGAAAAGAGACATAAGAAGGACATTTGTCTGTACTTCTAGCACTGGAAGAAGAGTAAGAAACCAACATCTTCAATGTTGGCTTCTTATTTCTCCTTCAGTAAAGAAACAGGTTTGTCAGTGTACTTTAGTGCTAGTGATACACCGTAAGAAGCCAACTTATTCAGTATAACAGTCAGATAAAATGCTTTTTTTTAATTTGTTTGTGTGTATGTGTTTGTTTGTAGATGGTTCATGAAATACCAACATGTGGATCCTGAAGAGGCAGTTAATATTCACATTGATGTACAAGCGAAGAAATCTGTGGGAATTCATTGGGGCACCTTTGCTTTAGCAAATGAGGTAGGTGTGTGCTAATCACTACTGCAATTTTGAATGTCCCATTCAAAATGGTAGATTCCAGAATAGTGGGCCCCAAATAGTTGACAGCAGAGGCACACTTTGATGGGAATTAAAGTGGCAAGTACCCATCACTTACCCTTTGGGCTGTCTTGTGTGTGTAAGAATTACTCAGAGATAGAGGAATACATCTCTTCTGTCTCTGCATGAATCTTTGAGCAGGGCTTCTTGATTAGAAGTCAGCCCAGAACATTAACTGAAGCAGAGATACAATAGGCAGTGTCTTTATAGGACAGGCAGTTCTTCTGCATTGAGTTAGATTTTAGATTAGGCATCCTTCAGTCTTGAGAGACTGTATGGAGGACGTGCTTTATATGGAGGACTTGGAACAGCGTCTAGTGTGGCTGAGAAGGCCAATTTGAGAGTGACAATCCCTTCCACACTGAAGACAAATACAATCTGTCCCCTGTCCAGCTCCCTGATATTGCTGGTTTCGGGACTGCCTCTTTGCTTTGGCCTGCTGGACAAGGGTCTCTTCATATTGGGAGAGGCCGTAATGCACCGCCTGCCTCCAGGCTGAACGCTGAGATGTCAAGATTTCCCATCTGTTGAGGTCCATTCCTAAGGCTTTCAGATCCTGCTTGCAGACATCCTTGTATCACAGCTGTGGTCTCCCTTTGGGGCAATTTCCCTGCACTAATTCTCCATACAGGAGATCTTTTGGAATCCGGCCATCTGCCATTCTCACGACATGCCCAAGCCAACATAGACGTTGCTATTTCAGTAATGTATAAATGCTAAAAAATTGCAGCTCGTTCTAGACTACTGTATTTGGAAATTGTCCTGCCGGGTGATACCAAACATGCATTGGAGACAACGCATATGGAACATGTTAAGCTTCCTCTCCTGCCATGCCCAAAGCATCCAGGACTCAGTGCAGCACAGGACTGTACTCAGGACACAAACTCTATAGACCTGGATATTGGTATATTCTGTCAGCTTCTTATTAAGCCATACTCTCTTTCTGAGTCTAGAGAACACGGTAGCTGCTTTGACAATGTGTTTATCCAGCTCGACATCTAGGGAGAGGGTATCAGAGATCGTTGAGCCAAGGTACACAAAATCATGAACAAGCTCCAGTTCTTGTGGAGAGATGGTAATATAGGGAGGTGAGTCCTATGACTTGTGTTTTCTTCAGGCTGATTCTTAATCCAAAATTTTGGCAGGCATTACTAAAACGATTCATAGGTTGTTGGAGCTCATCAACAGAATGGGCAACAGTTGCATCATCGGCGAAGAGGAAGTCCCACATGCATTTCAGCTGGACTTGTGCTTCAGCATGACAGCAAAAATATCCCTATTACCTGCAGGTCATCAGAAAAGTCAGGGGTCATTGTCTGAACATTCTAGGTCCCCAACTTTAGGGTAGAAATTTTCTTCTGATTGTTGCATGGTGCAGGGTTATCTATCTACTTGTCGGCTTTCACCCTAAATCCCACACACCCCGTGAGGTTAACAGACCATGGCGAGGAGCACCTTACTGGCTGGGGACTGCCGAGCTTAAGGCGGGCGGTAGCTACCTAGTGAGGTGCAGTGACCTGTCCCACCGTCAGAGGTAGCCCCTGGCGTCATGCTCTACACCAGGCTTGTCCAACCTGCAGCCCGAGGGCCGCATGCGGC